GAGGTAAAGAAAAAAAAGATTTGGCAACCTACTGGATATGTGGGGTGAGTGAGGAATTGAGGATGACACTGAGGTTATGCACCTGGGTGACTAGAAGGATAGTGGTGCCCTTAACAAATATAGTGAAGTCCTGAAGAAGGGTGGATTTGGAAGGAAGAATAAGTTCTGTTTTGAACCTATTGAGTTTGAGGTATCTATAAGAAAGCTGGTTTAAAATATCTAAGGAGGGGCAGCTAGGTGGCACAGTGAATAGAGTACTGGCCCTGAAGTCAGGAGGACCTGAGTTAAAATCCGGCCTCAGACCAAACACTTGACACTAGCTGGGTGATCCCGGGCAAGTCACTTAATCCCAATTGCCTAAAAAAAGAAAAAACAAAAAAAAATCTAAGGAGCAGTTAATAACATGGAACTCAGGATTAGCAACATCTAGGTAGCTCATTATAGCATTGAGATTGGCCAGAGTGTCAAATATAGTTAGAAGGAAGATAATGAAATGAGTAAAATAGGAAAGATTGAAAAATATCTTGATTATAGTAACACTATAGGTTTCCTGGATATGGAGGACTGAGAGGAAAGTTAAGGTCCTCATTGGGAGCCTCTTACACAGATGAAATCATAGGTCCAACTAAATTATAGTGTATAAATAAATTGTGTGTATACCACTTGTCACAGATACAGGTATATGATGGGGATGGGGAAGAAAAAGAGAAAGGAGGGAGAGAGAAAGAAGACTAAGAGGAGAGAGGAAGGGAAAAAAGAGAAAGAGGAAGAGATAGGGACAGTGAGACAGAGAGAGTGAAATAAGACAGGAGAAAGAAGGAGGAGACAGAGAAGAAGAAGAAGAAAAGAAGACAACGATGACAATGACTACAGACTGGCTTTGGACAATGGAAGATGTAGGCTCAAGTCTCAACTCTGACCCCTACTGGCTTCAAGAACCTAGGCAAGTTATTTGAAGTCTCAGGATACTAAGACTCTAAAGTTGCTGGGCAGGTTCTGACCTACATGGATAAAGGAAGTTTCTTACTTGGAACTCCTTTAACAAAGAAATCACAGATCCAGTAAGAAGAATGTGTTTGCACCTGATATTAGCTTGCAAAACACAAAGCAAAACTTTCACTCATTGCCTTTTGATGGTGATAGTTTTTCAAGTGTGAAATAGCATTTGAAAAAAAATGACATCTCAATTTTTTCCTCCACTGTAAGAAAATACTTGAAAAGAAGAGTCAGGGAGAAAATATAGAACTGAGAGAATTGAAGAAGGAAACTGCTTTCTTCTCTCTTTCTAGATGGAGTAGAAGCAATGGTGTCTGATTCAGCCATGTAAGAAATACTGTCACTTCAATTTTTCTGACACAAAAGCAGCAACTTAGTGAAACTTGGAAAAACTATGGAAGAGAAACAGTTTTATGTTGGTGGACCATAGTTTCTCTTCATGGGGCGGCTAGGTGGCGCAGTGGATAGAGTACTGGCCCTGAAGTTGGGAGGACCTGAGTTCAAATGCGGCCTCAGACCAAACACTTGACATGTACTAGCTGTGTGACCTTGGGCAAGTTACTTAACCCCGATTGCCTTACTAAAAAAAAAAAACCCAAAAACAAAAAAAACATGATTTCTCTTCATCCTAAAAGAATTAATTTCTCTTTCATTCTCTGTGACTGGGTACTTGTGGGCTTTCCCTCATGAATGACAAGTCCCAGCAGAAGTAAAAGGCCAACCTAAATTGAATCTTTATGAAATCAATGCTCCCAGTTCTTGGTGGATGGAACAGGTAACGAAGTTATTGAATCACTAAAAATTCTTGTGCAGGGCAGAGAGAGTCAGGAAAGGCAATGATAACAAAAGCATCTTTTCAGTTGCCAGTTGTCTATTTTTTCCAAGTCTTTTTTCATCTACCTAATTTTTTTTTAAGTTTCAAATTTATTTCACTCCAGGTGCTTCTGGTGATTTTTTTTTCTTTTCCCTACAATAACTTTGTTCTTTCAACAACACAATACTGCCTTCTCAGGTAGGCTTCCAAAAGGCAATGTGATAAAAGCTGAAACTGAAGGATGGTTAAGGTTTCAAATATCTATATATGGAACAGATAGGATCTTATACACAGGGGGGAAAAGACATTAAGAAAGCACCAGGTTAGGGAAGGGATAAGGTATGTATCTTGGGGGTTTTCTTTTGGGTATAAAAATGGAAAGTAGGCTTGGACCAGATTGCAGAGGACCTTCAATACCAAGCTAAGGAAGGCTAGAGTTTGGTTTGATTCAGAAGTCAATGGAGAGTTACTGAAGTAATTTGAAAAAAGAATGATAGGGTTATTCTGAGTCTCAGAGAGTCAGACAGCCAGAGTGACAGAGCCATGACTTCAATCCAGGCCTTTCTGACTCCATGTCAAATACTCTTTTCAACAACCCCATGTTGAAGTGGTTTTATTGTGTCAAATGATACACCTCAAAGAAAGGTGTGTGTCCTCTTGAGGCCTCGTGGCAATGGCACATCTTTAAATTAGGCCTTTAGTCTCAGATTACACAATTTAGCTTTGTCATCTGAGCATTGCAGCCAAACCATGCTGGTTGTCCTGTTATTTTGAATTTGGATAAATTAAATTCTTTTCCAATGTTCAAAGCAATCTTGCACCTGTGTTGATTCTGTTCCACTAATCCAGGAACCATATTCAGGTGACTCAGTGGTTTGGCAACAACCTAGAAAATTCCATTTAAAATGGAAGTGGCAGGGTGTGGACCCAAGCTGAGACCTTTGCCCCTTAACCCAAAAAGAATTGGGTCCCATTTGTCTACAGGCCCAAGAAAACCCCACCTTGGACTCTCCTTGAATTTTCCCACTAGATCAAGTGAGTCTGTAGCGTTACCTTGAGGCTATAATGCTATTGGCTGGCCTTTCATTATTGCCTACACCTAATCTCCCAGTTCTCAATTACCTAGCCCTGTACTCCATTGTCAGTTACCTTGGGATACCCCCCCATCCTATCTAGACCCCATTATCAGGTCTTCGACCTCCAGTCACCCCAACCCACTGGCCACTCCCATCAACCTCCCCTAGACCCCTCCTCACAGTCATCTCAGACTACTTGGCCACTCCTAGATCCCTCCCACAGCCTTTCTGTATATAAGATCCATCTTGGCCACCATTAAGGTACTGAGATTCTGTCTAGCCCATTTGTCAATACTAGTGTCACAAATGTTCAGAACATTGGAGTAATTGCCAAAAATTTCCCAGAGCCACCAGTCGGTTCCACCCAAAAAGATACAGAATCTCTAGACCTCTCAAATTCACAAGGTTACCTCTAAGCCTGGACGTGTCCATCTCTATGTAGGTACTCATTCATCTAAAATGAGGAAAAAACAAAACAAAAGGGAAAGCCCAAACCAAGACTTAGGCTTGGCTAGGCAAGTCATGTGCTTTATTTACCAAGGACTCATGGCCTCATGTCAGGGTGAAGGATAAGGCAAGCCACCTTTTCCCTAGCCTTTGTGAAAAGTGGCTTAAAATTATCCTGACATGATGAGCAACTAGGAATGTGTGCACCTGTGTGTATATACACATCTACAAGCAGCTTACAGATGAGGAAACTGAGGCTGAAGGAGATTGTATTTGCCCAAGTCACACAGGTAATAAATGTCAGGAAGAATTTTCCTGGTCTCCATGGTAAAAAAAAAATCACATGTAGAATATAAATATATGTGCATGTATATACACGTGTACACACATAAATATATAACATATTATCCCTATTTTGTAGATGAAGAAACTAAAACTTAGAGATGAAATATATAACATATATTATCCCTATTTTGTGGATGAAGAAACTAAAACTTAGAGATGCAGTCATCCATCCAAGGTTACATAGCTCATATAACAATCCCATGAGGCAGGTATCAAATCTAACATAGAGGTTCAGAGCTAGGATTCAGACTTAGGCCTGCCAACTTCCAGAGTACTTTTCATGGTACTACTACATTGCCCCCTAGGAACAGATAACACAGAAAAACCTAAAGAGAGTAACTTTCCACTTTAATTCCTCCTCTCCCTTTTAAAAAAAGTAACTTTTGGAAGAGAATGCTTGACAGAGGAGGAAATAGTCAGTAAAAAGCCTTCATTGCTGACATGTCAGCTCCTTTGAAGATCAATGTAGTCTATATTCTCCTGGGAGAATATTGTTTTCGCTCAGTTTGCCCTCTCCTATTTTCTGCTTCCTTTCACGGAATTGTGGTGGGAGGTTTTAAAAACCTGGCATCTTTCTTTTGGAAGAGTTTCAAACTAGACACATTTTTTGCTCTCTCCTTTCCCCTCTTCCTCTATATCTGAACCTACAATAGGAGGAAAAAGCCTCCCATATGTTAACTGAATTCAACAGACAATTATTAATTACCCACTGAGCTGGACCCTGAAGAAGATACAAATGTTATATAAAAGCAAAATTCTTGCCCTGCCCTCATGAAGTTCACAGTCTAGTGGAATACTTTTCCTCAAGCATATTGTACCTACAAATAGGAAATATGAAACTTATAAAATTATGTTTCCTTGAAGAGTTTATTTGATATAGTTGGGTCACCTTATTTTATAACCTGCCCTGCATCTTTTGTTAGGGATTGGAAATTAAAAAAATGTTTCCTGGCCCTCCCTTTTTAGAGCAATCTGTATTTTCTTGATCTCTCATAAATCAAAGAGGAAAAATGGTTCTGATATAACCATTTTCAACCTCAATAACAGTATTTCTGGGGTTTGTTTGTTTTTATATAATTATCTCATAGTTTGTCCAGTACAAAATGCTTTCTTCGGGGACAAGTCACTCTGCTCCTGAGGATAATATCTGCACTCTCTACTACACTGAGTTGCTGTAAGGAAAGTGTTTTGCTGAGTTTCACTCTCTTAAGTATGAATTAGTAGTAGTAGCGGTAGAAGTACTAACAGCTAGCATTTATATGGGCAATACTGGCCCTTGTTACCAGGGGGCGCCAGGAACCTAGGCTCTTCTGCCCCTCCGGTCCTGTCCAGTGCAGTCACAGGGCGGAGGGTCAGAGAAGGCGGGGAGCACAGGTTCTCCCTTCTTTCCTCTCCTCCCCACTCCTCTCCTCTGCAGTCCGCCGCGGTTCAGCAGCTTCGGCAGCAGCATGACGGTGGGCGCCAGGCTCCGAGGGAAGGCGGAGGGCAGATACCTTCGCAGGTTCCCGAGGCGGGAGCAAGAGGAGGAGGAGGCCTATATCCTGCAGCACCCGCAATTAGAAGAAGAGGAGGAAGAAGAGGAGACTGAGGGGCAAGAAGTACCTCTGCAGCGCCCGGGGCCCCAGGATGAGGCGAGGGAGGAGAAGGCACCTCATTCCAAGAAAGTTCACTTTGCCTTTTTGCCGGAGAGTTACGAGCCCCTGGAGGAGCAGACAGCCGGAGAAAAGCCCAAAAAGAAATATAGGAAGAAGCTCAAGAAATATGGCAAGGTATGGTGTGAAGTGGGGTGCGGGAGGGGAAGATGGAGATCAGAGTTGCCCACGTCCCTGGAGCTGGTGAGAAAAGGGACGGCTCTGTCTGTTCTTGTCCTCCGTCAGCTGAGATGGTAGAGAAGGGGGTCTCCTTGACCTCAGATCTCCAGCACAGAGGGTCTTCTCTCAGCATCCTTTCGTTCCAGCTCCGGCGCTTGAGGCGCCTTCCACACTCATCTCCCTGGCACAAAACTTGCGCAGGGTGTGAGGCCCGGGAGAGAGGCGGCAGGTGCCCTTACCGCAGTCTAGAAATGGCCCTCTCGGCCTCTGAGCCCCCGAGAAAAATTTGCGAGTCAATACTCTAACTGCCCAACGCACCCAACCTCGCCCCTGCTTGGGCAAAGAACACTAGGGAAAACTATTATCGTCTTGTATAACGTAATAAATGCATGTTGACTTAACTAGTAGTCTGGCTCATTTGAGGAGTGAGCTCTGTAAATTTTAGGACGGGCCAACTTGCGCCAGGGCTTTTCGTTTACGCGTGAGGGAAGTGAGGCATAGGACGGTGGAGTAACTTGCCCAAGGTTTCACTAAGAATTAGAATTGGTGTCAGAGCTGTAACTAGAACTCAGGTCATCTGCTTTTTCCATTACAAAAATGCTACCTGCTTTTCTCTGGGTCTGATAGATTTCTGCCACAGGAAAGACTTCTCCTTGATCCCTTTGTGATTTCCTAGGCTTCTGGGGCAGCTCTAATGGAAATATTGCTGAATTTTGAGTTTGTATTCCAGCTTTGATATTTTCTGGCAGGTGACCCTAGTAAATTCGTTTAATGCCTTCACTAACTAACTTAAAAGATTGTCTTTTGGAAAAAATTTTATAAGTTCTCAAATGCTATATATTGTGAGTTGTTATGAAGCCCATTCACTGTTTTTTCTCATACTTGGTTGTCTAGTTTAAACCATCTAGTTTGTGTGTTCATCCTTTGCCTGTTGCGACGGTGGAATGGGATAACATCTTCTGTCCTAGGGTTTTGCTCACAACCCCTGTAATTTTGAGTGGGAGGCATGGGGTAGTAGATTGTCCCACAGTGATTCTGAGTAGTAGTGGATTGCCTAGGCTAAAGGCTCTTCCTTTCCCCTCCACCATTCATTATCCGGATCAAGCTCATCCCTCTGCTGTCCTTCTATCACATTCTACTCTTCCATTGAGCCCTTTGGTATTCCCTTCTATTTTTAACAAACTACACTTCATATTATTCTTTTGGCTTCCTGCCAGAAATTTAATTAAAATTTAATTAATTTTTTGACATTCACAATGGAATGTAAGTACCTTAAGGCTGGAATTGTTTGGTTTTAGTTTTGTGTACCCAGTCTGGTACAGACTAGGTGTTTAATAAATGCTTGTTGAATTGAATTGAAACAAAATTTGTGCAGAAGCAAAGTTTGGCCTAGAATGTGGTTTTTCAATTTTTTTTTTAAATCAGTAGATCTGTCAAAATGTCTAGAAGATGGAGAACATTTTCTCACATGTGATGATGATGTTTCTTTTTTAAGTCATGTCCAATTCTTTGTGACCCCATTTGGGGGTTTCTTGGCAAAGATCCTAGTATGGTTTGCCATTTCCTTTTCCAGCTCATTTTACAGTTGAGGAAATTGAAGCAATCAGGATTAAGTGACTTGTCCAGGGTCACATAGCTAGTACACTTTTGAGACTGATTTGATCTCAGGAAGATGAGTTTTCCTCACTCGAGGTCCTGTACTCTATCCACTGCACTACCTAGCTGCCTCTTCTGATACCCTGTAGGTGGGTAATAAATGTTGATTGATTGATTGGATTATTTGAAACTAGCAGTAAATTAGTTTTGCAATGCCTCCCTCCCTTCTTCCCCACTCTTCAGTCTTATACACCACCTTACTCTCATTGGCAAAAATACTTTCAAGAAAGTGTGATGTCATTGGTGTGGATGCTGCAGTCACTTGAGATGGCAAGAAGCCTCTTCTAAGGCAGTCTTCAGGGGCTATTCTGGCCAAAAAAGCTGGTCCTCAGATACAGTTTATGAAACTGCCTAGGATCATAGGGTCATAGAACTCTAGAGCTGGAAGAGACCTTGTAGACCATCTAATTCAACCCCTTCTTTTAAAAGGTAAGGAAAGTGAAGGCTAGAATGGTCAAGTGATTTGACCATGGTCACACACAGAGCAAACATCAAAGGGAAGATGTGAACTAAGGTCTTCCAACTTCAGAGGCACTTCAGGAAATCTAACCTTCTGTCTCCCAAACTCATAAAGTCCCACTTTCTGCAAGAAGCCTTACTCTTAGTGCCATCCTTCTGACAATATCCCCAGTTTATCCAGTATTTATCTTGTTTATACTTAGTTGTCTGCATGTTGTTTCCCCCATTAACTGGTAAGCTCCTAGAAGGCAGCGACTGTTTTTTGTTTGTTTATTTGGTTGGTTTTGCCTTTCTGTCTCCAGCAGCTTGGTGCCTGGTATATAGTAAGTGTTTAATAAATGCTTGTTGACTGCCCGGACTATTCTAAAGCTTAATCTATTAGAATAGCCTTGGAGAACCCAACGCCAACCTCCACACCATTATGAAGACTTAGCAGTAGGACTTTGTCTTCTTTGGAGACAGCATTTCCCCCAAACTTCCCTCCTTTATTTGCAGATATTTCCGGGGGTGGGAAATTCAACAAATACATAAAATGTCGTACTTGTCAGCTCTCTTAGTCCCCCTTCCCATGTGACCAAGCAGGCATGGTTTGTTTGCTTTAGGCTGGGGGATGGAGGAGGGAGATCAGAGGGGAAGAAGTTTCAAGAACTGTGAGGGGAAGGGAAGCAAAAGGAAAGACTAGGATGGTTAAAAATGTAAGTTTTGTGCTGTTTCATGCCTAACAGACAGGAACCAATATTTTTCCCTATCTGAGGCTGCAGCTTCATGTATACCAATCCTTGTAAGCTTCTAATTCCTTGCTATTGTGGGCATGCTGCTCAACTTTTCTGAGCCTCAGTACCAAGTTTTCCAAGGAGTTTCTTCCCAGGTAAAAATAGTGTTTATTGGTTTTCATGATTCCATTGCACTCGACAGAGGAGAGAACTTCTCTTGCTGTTAGGATTTAGATTAAGGCTGGGGTTTCCAACTTGTTCAGTGTCAGGACTCTAAATTTAAAAAAAAAAAAAGGTGATAAAGCTTCAAGCTCTGTATCCTACACCCTTCCTGTTGTTACATGCCATTTTTTTTAAAAGTAAAAGTAATCCAATCTCATTTTTTCATCACCTTAACAATACTCCTTAATTAATTAAAGAAAATTAAATCTATCCTAGAGTGTTAAAAAGAATTAGAACTGGGAACTCATTCATGGCAGGTCAGGAGAAGGGTGGGAAAAAGGAGCAAGCATTTATTAAGCCCCTATTATATGTGAGACTGGGCCATTGCCAGTCATCTTGACTTAATGTCTTGCCAGTGAACTCCAATGACTCTGGAAGAGAGAGTGAGGCTGATGACTTTGCATAGTCCTGCCTCACTTAAATCCAATTCATTTGCAAGTCAAGACATCACCCTCCTGATGTCATTGGTCCTCTTGGAGAATGAAGGATGAACACCACTCTATGTCAGGCATTGTACTAAGCACTCTACAAATATTATCTCACTGGATCATAGCATGCAAGACCATAGATTTACAGCTGGAAGGAACTTTAAAGGTCATCTAATCCAAACCCTTCATTTTACAGAGGAGGAAATAGTGGTGAGGTAGCTTGTGCTAAGGTCACAAAGATGGCAAAGGGCGGTGCTGTGATAGTACTACTAACAGTTCACGTTTACACAATGTAGTGGATAGAATATTTGCCTCAAAGCCTGGAAGACCTAGGTTGAAGTTCTTCCTCTGACACATACCCCGGGCAAAGTCCCAGTTCTCTAGGACAATTCTTCTAAGACTCTAAGGTTTCAAGAAGACGGTATCCCACCTTGGCAGAGGGAGTTTCCCATGAAATCATAGCTCCAGTCCTTATTCCCAAAGTTTACAATTTAGTCTTAATCCTTAGTCCTAAAGCTTTGTCATTAAAACATTAACTGATAATGATGAATCGGGTTGGAGATGGACTAGGGGATGGAGAGCCCTGGAAAACCTGAGCTCAAATCCAACCTCAGACACTTATTTGCTGTTTTAGCCTGGACAAGTCACTTCTATTTGCCTTCATTTCTTTAACTATAAAATGGAGATAATAGTGTCTATTCTTAGGGGTTGTTAGTGAGGATCAAATGAGATTATAAAGTGCTTAGCGCAGTGCCTGACACTTAATTAATTCCTCTTTCCTTCCCTTCTCTTCTGATATAGCACTTTCAAGCTTACAAAGTACTTTACCCAGGCTGAGATTAAATTACTTGCCTACTGGGGGAAAAAAATTTACTTGCCTACAGCCCCACAGCAAAGAAGAGCCTCATTCAGAATTTGAACCCAGATCTCCTTGACTCCAAGTACAAGTTAGATAAAAGTTTAGGGAGTGTCTCTTTCAGAAACTGAGGCCTTAGGGAAGTTAAGTGATTTGTCCTGTATCATGAAGCTTGTAGCTAGTTGTTCAGTTGGGTCCAACTCTTCATGACCTAGAGTGGGTTGCCATTGCCTTCTTCAGTAGATTAAGGAAAACGGAGGTTAAGTGACTTTCCCAGGTCACAGCTAGTCAATTTTGAACTTGGGTTTTCATGACTCCAGATCTAGCCATCTATCCACTGAGCCACCTGCTTGCCTCCATGGTGAAGCTAGTAAGTAATAAATAAGTCAGAACTTGGTCCTAGGTCTTCTGACTACAAGGCCAGGAATCTGTCTGCTCTACTACATTCAATGCCTATCATGGGGAAGCTGGTCTTTTTTTTTTTTAATCACCTTTTAGTGATTCAGAATAGAAGTCAAATTTTCAACTTCTTCAATTGTTCTTGTCTTAGTGATAATAAAACAGTGAATATAGATAAGCCTCTCACCACTCACTGGAGGAAGTTAGGGTATTCACCTTGTTTCT